GGGGAGGAGTCTTTTCTGTCGTCCTTTAATAAAGCTTCTACTTTCCACTCTAAACTTGACTCTGCATGCTTCTCTGGTTTTATACTTCAGCTTCAGGGAAGCAAGGACTCGTCACCGGTAAAAAGCAGTCACACTATAATCCCAGTCCCACATTTTATTTTTTAATTTGGAAACAGGGTCCCACTAAGTTGCCAAGGCTGGCCTCAAAACTTGTGATCCTCTGCCTCAGCCTGCCATGTCACTGGGATTACAGACCAGGCCAGGCCCTAATATAGCATATAATCCAATAAAATGTACTTGTAAATGTTAAATAATACTTCATATCCTTAATAAGTGTAAGTGTGTTTGAGGAGGATTGAGGAATTCAATGCCAGGCCAAAATACACATGCTATCTAGGCATCTGGGTGTCACTTATTAGCTAAATGCTTGGCTTTCATTGCCCAACAACCTTGAAGATAGTTTTATTCAAGGGCAGGCCTAATGGAGCATACCTGTAGTCCTAGCTACTCAAGAGGCTGGAGTGGAAGGATCATTTTTCATGGAGAAGGTCTGAGGTGGTCCTGAAAAGGGGGACCTCAACACAGGGGAGGGGTTTTTGATGTTTGTGAGAGAAAAGACTCTCAGCGTATATCATATATTGACGCACAAATGTTTATTTATGAAAGTAATGGGTACATATTCAAAGGAGAATTCATACTATCTTAAAGAGTTAGAAGAGTTTTATAATTTTTTGATTCTTCTTTTAAAGGAAACTTGGCAGCCAGGTTCAATTTGTAATCCCAGCAACTGGAGGCTAAGGCAGGAGGATGGCGAATTTGAGGCCAACCTGAGCCTATGTCAAAATAAAGTGTTGTATTCTCAATGGTAGAAAGTCCTTGGGTTCAAATACCTGAATGAGTGAATGAATGAATGAATGAATAAATAATATATAAAAACCTGGTGAGGGGATGGATGTGGAGATGACATCAGACTGGTAATCACAAGATGATTTATGATGGTCTGGCTATTCTCAGGATCCTTAGGTGGAAGTTTCCATTATCTGACCAATAGATAAAAGTTGGGAAAATACCCTTAAGCTTCATGTCTGTCTTTGCTCAATCTATTCTAAAAACATGTATTAATGGGCTATGTGATATGTGTCAGATCAGGCAGGGGAGGCTTTATTGAGATATCACTCCCGGATGGAACTCGATCAGACCCACAGAGGGGAGAGAAGACGGGTCTGAGGAGAAACCGAATGGAAGCTCGACTGCACTGGACTTTTATGGGGCTTACAGCAGGAAGGGAAGGGCTTGGGACAGGAAAAGGTGTTTCTAGGGTCTCTTGCCCCCTTGAAGTTGGTCAGGGGAGTTGGCTGAACTCCAGGATTGGCCAGGGGGGTCCTGTTGACTGACAGGCATTAGTCAGGAGATCTGGCTGATTGACAGGTGTTTCCGCCGGCATCTGATTGATGTTCTTTTCCGGTGTGGGCTGCTTTGTTCTAAGTTGCCACCAAGTCACCACCAAGTTGCCACCGACTTAACACTAAGTTCAAAGCCAGCCTCAGCAACTTCATGAGGCCCTAAGCAACTTAGCAAGACCTTGTCTCAAAATAAAAAATAAAAATGGGCCAGAGATGTGACTCAATGCTTAAGTGCCCCTGGGTTCAATTCCTGGTACCAAAAAATAATAAAAATAAAATAAAACCCAAAACAAACTCTCTCAACAATACAAAAAACAAAATCAACTTAAATTAAAAATGGGCAAAAGATTTGAACAGACACCTCCTAAAGATGAAACACACAAGAAGAAACCACTGGATGGAGACTATTTCACCCTTAAGATCCGTGGCCGTGCACGCTTTAAGATGTTCCAAGAGTTGAATGAAGCCCTGGAGCTCAAGGATGCCCAGGCTGAAAAGGAGCCAGGGGAGAGCAGGCCTAACC